TTTAAAGATGTCAAAAGTATATCGACATTGGTCTCATTTTAAAACCCACGTTAAATAAAGTATGTTAGGCTCGAAAAAAAATATTTTCTAACTATTTAAGCTCGAGTTATCTCTATTTAAAGAAACATATAATTTTTTTTTAAAATTTTATTAATAAACTTACGCATGAATAACCGGGTAACTACGCTGGGGGAGGGGGTTTGAATTTCATTTTTGGCCATTGCTTGTGGCAAATCACATAAGCAAGGGGGTTTGAATTTCATTTTTGACCATTGCTTGTGGCAAATCACATAAGCAAGGGGGTTTGAAGTTCATTTTTGACCATTGCTTGTGGCAAATCACATAAGCACCTACCCACTGGGGGTAGGAGAACGGGGCTGCTTAAAGGGATTCCCAACTGGGGCTTATCACTCTCAAAGTCTAAAATAAGAGACTCACTAGAGAGCTCTGCAACATTACTTGCTAGTTTCTGCAGGTCTTGGAAGATGGAAAAACTTGCTCGAAAGGTAAAAGCTTATTACTGTGTAGTTTCTGTGTTTCCAAAATTATTGGATTAGTAAAAGGGTAATCCCGACTAACTAAAAGGTAAAGTTTATAATTTGATTGTAAGTAGTTTGAGTATTGTGCATACTATCTATCTGTGAAGAAGCAGTATTTAGTTTTTAGTATTTTGTATTTCGATGGGGAGAAAACCCTTGCTCTACAAATGTAGGATTGAACAGAGGTGCATGGACTGCTGCTGAAGACCAAAATTTAATTCTCTCTCTCTCTCTCTCTCTCTCTCTCTCTCTCTCTCTCTCTCCCAAGATCTTCTATCTTCATCTGACCGCCCTTCATTGAATTGCCTTAAACCCAAAGAAGGGTAATCATATTTTTCCCACAAAATATTTTGTCCACTCCTTAAGAGGATGAAAAATTCTCAAACCATGTTGCAAATAGTACAATCCCACCATCCACCAAAGCATAGAATTGTGAATTTTGTTTATAGTACACACAAAAATTATGCTACAACAACGCGTGTAACTTTCTCAAAATTTCATGGTGAAATTGAAGGTGGCTATAGCAACGGGCTTTGTAGAATGGGTTTTTATGATTGCTTCCAAAGTATGTAAATCATTCTTATAACTATATTGGATTAGTATTCAATTATGTAAAGAAAATCAAAAAATCTATGAAAAGGAGAAATATAAGTTTTGATGATGATGACATAAATTTGACTATTTGTCTTTAACTAAATATATGGACAGGTGGGAAATGGTTTGTCTATAGATACGAAGGCACACATATTGGTTTCAAAACACTGGATTGAAGCAGTGAGTTACTCTTTTTTCTTGTCATTTTAGAGTTTTTAGGGTTAGCGTACCTCGTGGTGATCTTTTATCTGCTCATTGTAAGATGTGTGTTGCCGAAAACATAATAAGGTGTATGATGACCAGATGTCATTCTCATTTTCCTCGTGG